AGTTAAAGTGTTTTTTACATTTAACTACAAACTCAAAATTATAAGTTGGGTTCAAGGAGTTTTTCATCTAAAACACCTGTTCTCGCGTCGCTCTCTATCTCTGTCTATAACAACTAGAAACGTGTTCTTAACAGTTTTTGGTTGTTACTTTATCAAGTAAATAGTCGTGCAATATATCCCGTCTAACACACTTTTTCAAGTAGAATAGGAAATATGTTGTTGTCATCAATAGAATATTGTTTAAGAGTATTGTTTAGAATATGTTTTATTTAACACTGTTATAACTGTGATTATATGGGTGAATTTTTAGCATTCTCATCAATTTCCATGCAAGAAACGACATCGATAACGCCAATGGGCTCTGAACAACGGTCTCTCACGGTTTTGTAAATGCCCGTGACAGTCAATATTGTATGAGTGCAGGCATAAAAATTTCTAATTTGAAACCTATACGGCTTCCGTTCTAGGTCATCAAGTATTTTGCGTATTTAAACACATTGGTTATTGACATTGCGTTACAAGGCTGTAGAATCTGCCTGTTTGCTCAACAATTGTCGGGCGAAAACTTATTGATTCGGGAAAATTTTTTGAAAATTATCTTTGCTCATTTTTTCAAGCTTTATCTTTCGATCATCGTTCTAACCGTAATGGTACTTACATTCTAATAGAAAAATTCAAAGCTCGTCAAGATATCCACTTAGTACCACTAAGACTTGAACTACTGACTGTAGATGGAGTTCGAATGTTTTTTACACGGATCCTAGAGTTTTATTTTATCTTATAAAATGCTAATTAAACAGTAGATGCTTTATTATGTTAATTCTGATCTTGAAGCATAGACAGGCAAGCAATTTCGTAGCCCAGAATCGAAATTAATTCTTAGTATGAGTGTAAGAACTCTCTGCACATTTAAACTTCGGTTTTCGCCATCTAAATAGATTTGGCGTTTGGAATTTCATAAACTGGAATCCCGCAAGAACGACGATCACAGCAACTCCGAAGCAACAGTTATCCCAACGGTCAGATACTTTTTGTCTTATAGGGGAAACCATTTCGTGAGAGTTTCATTGTTACCCACCTACACATACCTATATTATAGTATCACTATTTAAGAAAGAAGAAAATTCAGAAATCTATTTTCTAACCGAAGTCATCGTGACATCAAAAGCTAGTTGTCGATAAAATTTCAATAAATTTACCTACTTTTTTCATTTCAATAATAATCGGGTAAGAGGTAAACAGTTATCTTCAATTTACGTTTATTACCCGTCAAAAAAAACAATTATAGAAATAGTTATCGTTGTCGTTCGGTTGTGATTGCTGTTGAACATCAATACCGAAAAGCTGATTTATAGATTATTATGAAATATAAAATCTATAGACATGTTTCTGTTGTCATTTTTAATATAAAATATATGAATATTAATGTAATTTATAACTGCACACCAGATTCAAAAGCAAACCAGTTAACCTGTCCATTGTTCACATTTTTTACACCAACCCGTATGTGTCGTGGTGCATCCTGACAACTTGACATAGCCTTCTTCAGCATACATAGCAAGTTCTTGAGATGGTTTTCCTCGTACAGATGGTATTACATTATCATTAGTTCCACATTTCTGACACATTGGCTTTGGCATAACTCCATAATAATTTTGAAATTCTTTTAATTTTGCTATTGCGTCACAATTATAAGGATCCGGTTGAGATAATTTGATCAATTGTTGTCTCAACGGAATAACGAGATGAATACTCGGATGTTTGTCAGCGCTCAAAGTTTCGGTCGCTTCGACTGAAATATTCACAAATCGTGAGATATACAGAGAAAGAAGCTATATAACACCCATAGTAGGATAAAGGAATACGCCCAATTTACAACAAAGTCTCGTACAAAAGAAGCCTCTTAAAGAGTTCTTAAGAATATTATCTGCATAATGTACATGCGACTGAAGCGCACTGATTAAGCGTGATATGATTCTGTCACTACACCTCAATGGAGACCCCGTTGCCTCACGATTACCATAAAGGTTTTATGAGCGATACAACGTGAGTCGGGGAGCTCCGAGCAAGTTTCAAAACCATGGGCATATTACACTGCACATTGCCCTGATGACGAGACGGCTATATATACTTTCCGTACATGACATTAATAGGTAGTATGTCGTGCATTATACATCCTAACTTGACTGAGAAACTTTTCTCTATACAACTGATGACGAGTTGGCTTTTGTATGAAATGCATTATACAATGGATACATCCTCGATGAAGTTAGGTACATTAAGATGGACTACCATTGGCCACGATAGTGATGCCATTATTAAACTTCATCGATGTGATCATTTTTCCACTGATAAAAGGAGCGCGACATATTTGATATATGCAGATATCCTGCTTTTCCATCCGTTCCATGGATTTGCTCAAAAAACTAGAGTCCAAAAAGCTCTACGCTTATGGACATAGTCACAATGGCCGACGGCTATCGGAAAACGAAAGGCTATATACCCTTGACACGAAGCTTTCAATTTCCTTAAAAAAGGAATATCAATGGAAACGGTACCGGAAGTCGTACATAAAGTACAAATTTTTCATCCGTTCCATCGAAAAGAAGTTTTTCTATATGTTATTTTTCCATTGCCATAGAAATGGCCTCGGGTATTACATGGACACGCCTACCAAAAGAGATAGGCAGTAAACCTACACATTAATGCAGATACAAAAAATTCAACAGACGGCACCACTTTACGAGGCACCACTCTATAATAATCAATATTTAGTTGATAACAATGAAGAGGATGAAGATATTGACTAGTCAAAGTATTTCCACTCTTTGTATACAAAATATCGAACATTCTAGTCCATTTAATGAAAGAAACAATGGGCATAGTTCGAGAATGGATGCATGAATATTTTTCTACTTCTCTTTGTTCGGAAAAAGCAAGAACAAGAAATAGAGAATTTTGTACGGAAGAGGAAAGAGAGATAGACACTATAAATAGTCACTATCTTTCGTTGGATATATCATTCGTTTATTCACAACATTCGAAATTCCAACATTCACTTATCTTCATTCAACCATGCTATCATCGAACCAACAAACAGTATCGGCACCTGGTCTAATTGGTGACACTCGAGGGGCCCCAAAGGCACTTGAGGTGTTTACCATTGGCACCAGTGACCTTTCCGCACCTCTCCGAATCGCACAGTTGTTACAGTGTTCAGGAGCTGATCCAATCCTTTGGACTGGCACTGAACTAACGCGTTCAACTTCGGCTGGGAGTTTTCGTCTATATAAAGACGCAAGTTGTAATTTTGGTATTTGGGTGCCGAACTCGCAGGCTTTCTACTCGAACGGTATCCCTCCAAATATTCTTGCTCCGGATACCTCATCTGGACAGGCATTTGGTGGGTCCCGTCGAGATGGAGCCGAGCCGGTTCGACGCAACCAGGGATACCGTAGCGGATCTGACTATCGACGTGCCGACAGAGTCCTTAATAACTCGGGTCAGCAACGTCGACAGAGTCCTTAATAACTCGGGTCAGCAACGTCGACAGATCAGGGCTGCGCCGTATGACCGGCCAGCCGAATATAAAATTACCACCGATCATAATCGGCAACAACACCATTATTCGGTCGTCGCACAGAAACGATGCGATAAGAACGATGAACCGGCGAGTCTGTCACGACCGACAGCCGTTACACGACCGATACCAGTCAGTCTCTTCTGTTCCATCGACGTCAAAACGTGAGCGTCCGACGAGCTCTTCAACAGCAGTCACGCCCGTTGACGACCAAACACCAAGTCAGCGCCGTACGCTCTTAAATCGGAAACGATGTGAACGGCGTAACCGACTGAAACAAGTCTTAGCGGCAGCAGGGAGACAACCGGATGGCCAACCACGACAACTCGTCTCGTCGATGCCAGACGAAAATGACGACGACGTTTTCATGGCACCAGACCAACCAACACCACCCACCCTAGTCGTCGAACTCCTCAAAACGGAGATAACCGATATGGAAAATCTGGCAGACGACTTGAAACGTCTAGGCGAAAACGAACCGCCTCAGCAGCTTGA